AAAAAAGAAGCTAAATCAGACAACAAAAACTCATTTGGACCTCCGGAGTGTTCGCAATGGGTTGCCAGTAAGTAAAAGTTTCCGCAGTGTTGTCATCAAGCCTAGATGTGAGACATCACAGAGGCATTAGCTTTCTTGAAATAAATGGATTAAAGAGCATGAGAAAAATTTAAACTGGTTTGAATTGATCTTCACGAACACCAAATCTTATTTTATACTCTGCTAGATCACAACATGAAAGTAATAAGCTAATATATACTTCACATTGTCTCAGAAACCGGCCCTTACTCATAATAAAAGCACAACCATGAACCACCAAGCAGTATTCTGTTTGAAATTGTACGATCTAAGAACAGTAAAAAAGATCATTATGGATGGGCTTGTCAGTAAACAACATTTTAGCTTTAAAACTTGAGAAAACTTGACTGGACTGCTAAGACAAATATGACGTCTCTTCATGTATGTGAGAATATAAGATGCCAAACTTACCAATCTCAGGAGGTAAACCCGACAGTGAGTTATTAGACAGGTCAAGAACTGAAAGGCGCAAATTGCATGCCTCCACGGGATATTCTTTCAACTGTAGCCACAAAAGAGAATTGACAGCAGAATCCAAATTACTACGTGAGATTGCAAACAGTAAATAGGGTAAAAGATTAAACTCAATCAAACTTCTAGAAGATATTGTAGAGTTTCTTCCCAGAGAAACAAAGGAACTTAAGGCACAGTAACTTTGAATGTGATCGTGAAACATCACCTGGTTTGATTGCAGATCAAATGTCCCTAGCTGGGTCAATGATCCCAGTTCTGTGGGTAATGAAGACAGTGCATTGTTCCTGTAATACAGAATAGACAAATCAACAAAAGAAAAAAGATGGATTTTAGATACAGAATGTGCAAGACAATAATAATCGTAATTTCAAATTCAAATCATAAGACAACGGCCAAAACTGAACTGACCCTATGTAAAACTCTAGGAGAGATGAGCATCCCTTTATTGATGGTGGGATCGAAGCAATTCCTGCAGGATATATAATAATAATATATCAGCTGACCTCAACTGAGTACCAGAAGTAAATAACGGTAAACATAGATTTTTGAGCATGCAAAGAATTTGCAAATAGCCAGAATACTGGAGTTACTTACTGTTTTGGTGAAGGTCAAGCCTAATCAAACGTGTAAGCAATCCAATGCTCTCTGGCAGACTTCTTAATATGTTTTTAGCTAAAATAATTCAAAGAAGAAGCAGTTGAAAAATTACCAACCTGCACAGAACTACATAAATGGAATTGAAAAAAAGAAAACGTAGATATCTACATGCATTGAGTTCCATGAGCATAGTGCACGATGAAATCAGAGTATCAGACAGAATTTCTAGCTTGTTTCCCTGTCAAAAAAGGTGAATGACATGATCAAGAACTCGAGGTTAGTGATCTCAAGAGGCATAATGGGAGAAATGGAAGTAATGAAATAATAGATCCTTAGAATACTTCTGGTTATGATATCCATACCTCTATATCCAACTTCACTAATTTTGAACAATTGGCCAACTCTTCCGGCAAGCTGGAAATGTTATTGTTGGATGCCTGAGAAGATCACCAAATGCTCCAATAGAAATCATGACTCAAAAAAAAAGGAATAACCACCGAGTAAGGACAGAAACAAAAACAAACTCCTTAGAGTTGATAGTAATATTATCACAATAAGGCAGCTAATAGGTACTATAACTATGATGCTTCCACACTAAATACTTCTCTGATATTGAACACTTCAAGGGAAAAAAATGCCAAGCCTGGTATCCACTTCTATGTTCATCCAAATGATAAACGTCAACATCTTAAAATAGAGAAAATGAATATGGAGCCATCAAAAGCAGCAGGTATGGAATAATGTTGTTGTCACATTATCATTATTATTTATTTTTGTGGGATAGAGCATTTGGAACTAATTCAGGAATGGATGAATTGGGAAGGTCAACAGAAAGATTCAATATATGAAATAGGAGTAAGATGTTGGTTACAAATGTACTGGCAAAAGGTACCTTTGGTAATATTATGTAACTATCAAAAGAAAATCTTTTGTGTCAGTGAACATTTTGTGAATCTAGAGAATATCGCTGGCATAGACTTGCTTAACGTGTTGTAGGATTACACATCTCATATTTTGGACATATAAGGGAGAAGTGAACGACAGAATCTCATTCTTGCACTATTAGCCATTTGGGAGTTCCTATTAGATGACCAGCAATAAATGCTATTCAGCTAATATGAATTACAGCAAATAATTACAAAGTTAAAATCATATTCAACAACCAAAATCAGGGTAAAAAAGACATATCAGGGACAATCAACCGCAAAAGCATGCACCATTTAGTGATTTACCTTTAGCTCGGCCAGATTTATGCAATGGCCAAGGGAAATAGGGAGAGAGCTAAGTTGATTATTCGAACAATCAAACCTGCAGCCAACACAAACCCGTCAATATCTTCTACCTAAGAAGGCAGATCAACATGGCACCTCAACTGGTAAATGAAGTGTGTTGAACAATCATTAGGAGATGTCACATTGTTAGACCCTTTTGACACAAGTCTTTTGCGAGTAAAAGATGTGAAATTGAAAATTGCTAGGGAGAATATTTCAGTGAAAGGATGTTTCTCTCCATTCCCTTTATGCAAGAAATCCATCACCTCCCTCATCCCTGTTGATTTTTCTCCTTTTCCTTGAAATTGATCGACATTGAGTTTTTGAACTTATTTCGCTTGAATTAATTTTCACTCTTGCATTTTCGTTTTCCTCATAAAGAATCCTTGAATCTCAAACGAAATAGAGCACTAGCATTTCACACATGAAAACACACTTATATCACATACTTCACAAGAGAAGCTGCCGTTCCAATTTCGTCGGGAATTTCCTTTAGCAAATTAGATGACACATCTAATGATTTAAGCATGTGCAGCCTGCAAATCGAGATAAATCAAGCATTCTTCAGATCTCGGTTTTCTTTTTTTCTTTTTCCAGCTCATGAGGATAAGAACAAATTTGAGCTTGTTGAATAATGTAAGAGGTTAAAGATTCATACTCTCCAATAGCTGCTGGGAGGTGTGAAAGTTTATTGTGACTAACATTCAGAACGCCTAGCAAAGACAAGTTTTTCAAATCTTCCTTGAGTGATTCAATTTCATTATGAGCAAGAATCAGCTTCTGCAGCTCCACAGCCTGTCAATGGAGAAGGAGACAATTAAATTGCAGTCGCACGGGCACACAGATCGTGAACATATTTATCATAACTCATAAGGGTCCAAACGAAAATGTAGAGAATACATGGATAATTACCTCCCACCACTTCTCATCCCCACCAACCGCATCCAGACTTTTGTAAACCTCATCAGGCACTTCTCTGTAATCAGCATCAACAATACAGAAAAAAATGTCAACAACACCCCGCATTCAGCAATGCCGCCTGATAAAAATGAAAGACAATATGAATTTGGAGGAGATGCCTGAGAGATCGATTGGAGAGGTTAAGAGAACCGGAAGCGCGCGCAGCTTTTAAGACTCGATCCATGGCGGATTTACGATTAATTGCCGCAATGGAATATAATCATTTTTGTTTCAGGGTTAGCTCTGCAGCTCTGCTCGTGTCCTCGCTCGAAAAATGTACATCAAGGTGATAAAAATAAATCAATTATTTTGTTCGGTTTTTTTTTTTTTTTTTTTT